TGGAATGAGAAATGTTAACAACAAGAAACTAGTGGAGCCAACTAAGATTGAATGATGGGTTGTATTTAACTTCTCAACACGATATGATATGAATAGCCTCATTCGGTATTTAATTCAGATAGATCCTCTATTCAAGGTGACTCAAGAGCCCAATCAGAGAAAACACTACTATCTTGTTGAAAGAATTTGAAGAGATGATCAAGGAAACCCAACCTGAACTTCTTGAAGTTTTATAGTTCCTTCCTTGCCTTTTACCTAACAAAATTATGATTTTTGGGTCATTGAAAGAGTTAAGTACCCTGCATAATTTGGCATATTCACACAATGTATGGCTCTAACTAGGGTCAATGATCAACACCTTACAAACTTACTTCTAAAAATTAATGCGAAGCTTGGAGGACTGAATTTGATGTTAGCCATTGAACAATCACCTTCAATTCCAATTGTTTATAAGGTCCCAACCATCATCCTTGGGATAGATGTGTCTCATGGTTCTCCTGGGCAATATGATATTCCATCAATTGCTACGGTGGTCAGCTCCAGGTAGCGGCCTTTGATTTCTCGCTACAAGGCAACAGCACGTATGTAGTCTCCAAAGCTTGAAATGATGGATTCTCTTTTAAAAGCAATAATGAAAGCTTTATCAGATTTCTACACAGGTTCATGTAGAGAAAGCCAATTTTTATCAGGGGCAAAAATTTACTGGGGCAAAAAGCCACTAACATGAGACAAGAATTGCCAGGATGAACGTTGGTGCAAACAAAGAGTGAAGACAATCGAATCAAGGATAAACGGAAGTGTGCTTAAGCATCCGTCCCTGACCATTGAATCAAGAAAACAAACATCAACATATACATACTTGTTACATGAAATTGCATCTTTGAATCATTCATTCATCATCGCATTACAATAAAAAAAGGTTTTTTTCTTCTCATAAGGATGCCTTTATAATCGTTTTTGAGAAACTAATTTCATATTTCTCAAGATTGTTCATCCAAAAATATCAATTTAGTATTTCTTAAGATTATTTTTCCCCGAAAATACTTATTTCATTTTTCTTAAAAGAAATTTTTCTCCTCTCACGAGGACATCATCTAATTTCTTTTCTTAAGATAATTTTCTCCTCTCACAGACAAAGTCAAAAAGTCATCAAATCAAATACATGAAATAAACTTCAATAGGACACCCATAAAACATTCAAGATAATCATTCATAAATTCATTTTTTTATATTAATCTTTCAGGAAATAAAAGTTTGGTAATGAACAGATGTCCTCAAAATGAAGGAACAATGTCATCCACGTATTTGGCATCTGAAGTGAACGATTAGATCTTCTAAAGATAGTTATATCTCCTCAACATGCAGGTGCAGAATGTCTGTCGCCTTTAAGATTGTTTCTCTCGAAACAAAATTTTGTCTCACTTGAGACAGTTTCTCTTAAAAAAAATTTGTCTCACTTGAGATAATTTTCTCTTGAAACATGAACATTTGAGATTGTTTTCCTAAAAACAAAATTCGTCTCGCTTGGGATTGTTTTCCCTTGAGATGCAAATTTTGAATTTGTTTCACTTGAAATAAAGTTTATCTTACTAGAGATTGTTTTTCTCAAAACAAATTTTGTCTCACTTGAGACAGTCTTCCTTAAGACATGAACACTTGAGATTGTTTTCCTTAAAAACAAATGTCGTCTAACTTGATACAATCTTCCTTAAGACACGAAAATTTGAGATTATTTTTCTTGAAAACAAATTTCGTCTCACTTGAGATAGTTTTCCCTAGAAATACAAATTTTGAAATTGTTTTACTTGAAACAAAATTTATCTCAATTGAGATTGTTTTCTCAAAATAAATTTCGTCTCGCTTGAGGTATTTTCCACAAATTTTAAAATTGTTTCACTCGAAACAAAATTGATATCACTTAAGATTGTTTTAACTAAAAACAAATTTTGTATCGCTAGAGACAATTTCTCTTGAAACAAATTTTATCTTGCTTGAGACAGTTTCTCTTGAAACATAAACCTTTGATATTGTTCCTCTCGAAACAAAGTTTTATCTCGCTTGAGACAGTTTCTCTTGAAACATAAACCTTTGATATTGTTTCTCTCGCAACAAAGTTTTATCTCGCTTGAGACAGTTTCTCTTGAAACATAAACCATTGAGAATTGTTTCTCTTGAAACAAAGTTTCATCTCACTTGAGACAGTTTTCCCTTGAAACGCAAATTTTGAAATGTTTCACTCGAAACAAAATTTTATCTCACCTAAGATAACTTCTCTTGAAACAAATTTCCTTCCACTCGTTTATTTTCATTCAAATATTTGACAGGAATTCAATGTTAACAAAGACTCCATTCCATAATTTCATGTTGGAAAAGAAGATTTCATTTCAATTCAATCATTGGCAACCGACCAGATCACATCAACGCGTAGGAGCAGTGTCATCTTTAGATAACCATACTTCCTCATCACGTAGGAACCGTTTTGTCTCCAAATTATCCCTAAAGACAGCTAGACATCCTCATCACGTAGGAACAATGTCATCCACTGACCAGATCTCCTCAACGCATAGGAGCAGTGTCATCCTCATGTAATCAGACTTCCTCATCACGTAGGAACCGTCTTGTCTACAAATTATCCCTAAAGACAGCTAGACGTCCTCATCACGTAGGAACAATGTCATCCACCGACCAGATCTCCTCAACTCGTAGGAGCAACATCATCCTCAGGCAATCAGACTTCCTCATCACGTAGAAACTGTGTTGTCTCCAAAGTATCCCTAAAGACAGCTATGTGTCCTCATCACGTAATAACAATGTCGTCCACCGACTAGATCTCCTCAACGCATAAGAACAATGTCATCCTCAAACAATCAGATTTCCTCATCACGTAGGAACCATGTTGTCACCAAATTATCTCCAAATTGACCCGATGTCCTCAACATGAAGGAACAGTGTCATTTTTAAATCCTTTATGTTCAGACAAAGAATTTGAGCTGCAGATGTGGAGCGAACATCGTACCCAGACAAAATTAGGCCATTATTTGTCTTTGCTTTGTCATTGTATACACAACAGACGAGTAAAAAGGGGCAGTTGTAATACCCTAATTTTGTTCAGGGACCAAGCTTGTATTTTTTCCTTTTTGTAATATTGGTGGGGCTTTAAAAGCCAACTTTGCTTGTAAAAGAAAGCAGCCCCCGATTTTTATAGGACCCCCCATTTTGGTATGTTAAAAAAATAGAAAAAGCTCACTCTTCTTCAAGTTTATTTTTTTCTTTCCATACTGGTTGTCTTTTTTTAACTTTAACGTGAGTAGTCTATTGTCAGGGTTTAGCCCTCATCGGCATTGTAGGCGGCGGTAGGTAGTCGACGACCGTTCAGCCATTATCGGTGGTTGTGGAGTTTGAGAGTTTCGGTTAAGTATGGAGCAAGGTTAGAATAGAAGTAGAGGCCTAAGTTTGGTTAAGCCGGTATTTTACGAGTTGTCGGTGGCCGATGGTGGAGAGCCACCACCATTCGTTTAAAGAGGGTGGAAAATGGTTGTGTGTTATTATTTTCACACAAAAATACCATCTTTCGGTCTTGGTTGATTGGTGAAGGGGTTGAGCTGCTCTTATGATCACTGGCATCGTTCGGCAATGAAGGTGGCCATTATCTTTCGGTGATCGGTTGTAGTTTTGTTAGGGGGTTACACAGGCAGAGAAGGGAGAAAGCTGAGTTTGCTTTAACGAGGTTTCTGTTTAGTTTAGGTGGGGATGGTGTTTTTAAATTTTTTGGGTAAATTATGTGTAAGCCCTCCACATTTCTACTTGTTTCACGTTCTGATCACTTGTTTTGTGGGCTAATCGCCCATAGGTCCCCCATTTCTACCATGTTTTTGCATTATGGTCACCATGCATCTTTTTGTGTTGATTATTGTGATTCTCACCCCCTACTTTGCTTTATTTTAATTTGATCACTGATCTATGTATTTTTATTATTTCGAATTAACTATTAATTTTTATTTTGTTGCATATTAACCACTTATATTTATTTATTTATTGTTATTATTTGATTCAACCTTGTGGTGGCCCGATCTGGGGTATGATCCACATTATTATAGTTCAGATTCTGCTAACCACTAACTTTATTTTATTTATTTATTTATTTATTAATTTATTTATTTTATTTTATTTTTATTAATTTGTTTAAATTATTCTATTCGACCTTTTGGTCACCCGATCCGGGGTATGACCCGCATTATTATGGTCCGGACTCTGCTACCCGCTAATTACTAACTGCTAACATTTTATTTATTTGTTTGTTTTATTTTATGTTCGAACAATGTACGACCTTGCGACGACCCGTCCTAGGGTATGACTCTCATTATTTTCGGTCCGAGATAAATAATAAAATTCAATACTAACATTTTATTTTTATTGTATTTTATTTCTGTTATTTAACTTTATGCACTTTTAAATTTAAGTCTTTTATTTTCTTTATTTAATTTCAGTATTTACATTTTACTTGCTTTAATGTTCTCATCATTTATTTATATCTTTTTATTTTTCAGTACTTTAATGTTATTCCTTTAATTATTGTGTTTTATTGTCTGTTTATTTTACTTCTATAATTTATATTCGATTTATTTTTTTATAACGTTGTGGAGGGGGCATTTCTCGTATAAATGAGAAATATATGGGATAATCTTCCTATTGGAGGATGTGCAAATCCTGTTATTTCTTCTCAAATCAAGGAATGTTCCCTAATAATTAATTCAAAGCACATAATTTGATGTTCAATAAAATGATCGTAATTTAAATATTGATAGAAATTCACAATTTTTACTATTTACGACGATGTGTAAGCGTATAAGTACCAATTTTTTGGTGTTGTGGGGGTGTTTATCCTTCCCCATGCGTAATCACTTCCGAACTCTTAAAAATAAATTTTTTGATAACACAGACTAATTATTTTTTTAAATAATATTTAATTATTTTTCTAAAAAATAATTATGACAATAGTATTATCCGGGTTCCTCGTAAAACATTATCACATATTTCATAATAGTAATGGGCCTGAGAAACCATGTTTCGACGGTCTCTATTTCACCAACCAGAACCGCATCCATGTCTTCTTTCAAAGCAACCAAAGCATCATCGTACTGTTCACGGCAGCCGTTAAATCCCGACATTAACATCGGATCATCGGAGTATACAGGGTCAGCAGCCATTTTTGTTGCAATTTTAATCGCTCTTTTGGTCCGCTCAGTCATGGATCTTATCAGCATTACAACTACGGATTGTGGGTCTGTTTTTCCACTGAAGAATGGTACGATAAACCTTAAACAAAGACGGGGGTAGAAAGTTTTTGCACATATGGTTCTGATCTGAGGATTTGAAGCCACCGTCGACGACTGTGGTATAGGCGTCGGAACTAGGGCTGCGATAGTATTTGGAGCAGAAACTAACGGCTGTGGACTTATGCAAGTGACAGGGTTGAAGAGAATGATGCAGTGGAAGAGTAGGACAAGCACCATTTTTTTTTTTGTTAAAAAATCTGAACATACCTGATGACATATGGAACCAGTCAGGCGAGGACGAGAAAGGGGCTGAGATCTTTAGAGTTTTGAAAGGCAACAAGTTTGTGTTTTTACTGGACAATGTATGGGAACCCTTGTGTTTTTACTGTACAATGTATGAGAACCCTTTGATCTTATAAGGGTCGGCATCAAAATGTCCGGTTTCGAAAGTAATATTCAAAACAGGTCTCTGCGTGAAGAAGAAGAAGAACGCTTGAATTTTTTTTAATTTTTAATAGCCAACCCATAATTCTATTAATGAGTTAAAGAAAATTTACGGCATAAAGACTTAAAATCAAATAGATCGATAACATAGGGATTAAGCATATTTAATTAAAAATATTGGTGAATAAAATTAATCAGACCGAAAATAAAGGGGACTATTGCTATAATTTACCCATATTTTTTTATTAATTTTTAAGTTGTCACGTAGACTCTTATTAATATTTTATTAATAATTTCTTATTAAATTAGACATCCCACAAGCAAACCCATCTTTGCAATCTTCACTACAACAATCGGTAGAAATAAATTTTAGGGTAAACTTCAAGGATGACTACCAAACTATGGTCATTAACTATTTTGATCACCAACGGTTGAAAACGATCAAACAAACCACCCAACTATTTAAATAGTTCAATCAAACCACTTACCGTTATTTTTTAACTGATGTAATGATGTGGTAGTTAATAAAATTAGCATAATTATATATTTAGTCCTTAATATTTACACATTGTATCAATTTAGTCACTATTTTAATTCAATTAAAAAAATTTAGTCCTCTAATCCGGAGATGCCACGTGTCACTATATAAATGGAGGGTAAATTTAATTAATTTTAACATGTTATTTATATAACTTTCCTCACCAGTCAGGTGGTGACAAGTGTCACCACCTATACAAAGGCTCAAAATATTATTGGGTGTGGATTAGAACCAGAGACGCTTTGTTCATGGGCATGCCCTTATCACTAGGCTAAACCACTTTTTTGGATTTCACAATATTTTATATATTGTGTTCATACGGCAAAACTCTCGAGATAATGTTCTCGAAGAAATTATTTCACGAGATAATGCACTCTCAAGATTAATTGCTCAAATAGGGTGAAATGCACAGTGTGGTCGTAGGTCGCCATTCCTTCCGGGCGACCTTATAGGTCGCCATTCCTTCCGGGCGACCTTGTAGGTCGCCATGCCTTCCAAGAAGGTGACCTTGTACGAGAGTTATACGAGAGTTACGAGAGTTTGCATGTGTCGTGCACGAGATAGGGGTAGGTCTCCATGCACTCCGGGCGACCTTGTCTCCTTGCATGGCCATGCATAGGTCGCCATGTGAGATTCATGCACGTCCCCTCCTCCTCCTCGCTGCATGTCATCCCCTTCTCCTCCTCTCTGGATGCCGTTGCATGCCTGCAGCTATCATAGCTGCAATTGCAACGTGAAATCAGCTGTTTCATGCATCAATTATTGATGCATGCATGTGAACCATTTCAGCCCGTGAATTGCACAATTATTGGTGAAATAATTGAGGCAGCCGGTGACACCTAAATTATATATGGGAAGTAGTTAACGTGAGAACATAAAAGAAAGAAAGGGAGAAGATATTGCAACCGAAGAAAGTGAGAAGAGATTGCAACCGAGAAAGAAAGAACATGAGAAAGGAAAGGAAGAAGAAGAAAGGGAGATAAGGCTCTTGTGAGGTAATTTTTTATTATTTAAATTAGTTTATTATTATAAATTTTTAGTTTGTTAGTTTAGGGTTTAGGGTAAAACAAAAATTATTTAATTAGTTTGTTAGTTTAGGGTTATATTATTGTTAGTTTAAGTTATATTATACATAAACAAAAAATTATTTAATTAGTATGTTTGATAGTTATATAGTTAAAAAATAATTAAGTAGTTTGTTTTGTTAGTCGTTAGTTATATAAAAAAAAATTATTTAATTAGTTTGTGTTAGTTAAATAGTTAAGTTATATTTGTTTGTTGAATTTATATTATATAAAAAATTAGTTAGTAAGTTTATTAGTAGTATATTATAATGAAAAAATAGTTTATTAGTTTTAGTTATATAAAAGAATATTTTATTAGTTGTTTAAGGGTTTAGCGTTTACGTTTAACATATATTTTAAAAAGTTTAGTTTGTTAGTTTATTAGTTTATTATATTAATATTTTTGTTGTGTTGTAAATTAGTTAGTTAGTTAGTTTATATTAGATTATATTAAATGAATTTTTAAATATTGTTGTTTAATTTTTTTTACAGATTCATTCCAATGGCTAACCAAATTCCACTACTGAGACTTGACAGTGAACATATTTCAAGTCATTTGGGATTAATGGTAAATAAAATATTTGTTTAATGAATTATAATTAATAAATATTTGAATATTATTTTATGATTGTGATAAATTTTTTAAAATATTTAATTACAAGAGGACGAGCAGCGAGTCCTTCGTCTTCGGCTACATAAAGTGCCCAAGCCACACCGATTGATAGAAGAAAACTTGCAAGAGGCTGGATTTTGGTATGTAACATTTGTGCGAGATTACAAGTTGGTCTCAGGTTTGATCAGTGCGTTGATTGAACGTTGGAGACCAGAAACGCACACGTTTCATTTGCCGTGTGGCGAATGTACGATAACTCTGGAGGATGTGGCAATGCAACTCTGGGTCCAAACAAATGGGATGTCAGTGGTAATGTCACATGAGTTTAATAATGTGGCACAACTTTGCAGCTTGTTTCTTGGGAAAACACCCGTACCACCAGAGTGTAGAGGGTGGCGTATGAAGTTGTCATGGTTGAAGAATGAATTTGAGCTTCAACCAAATAGTACGGAGCACGAAATTATATATGCAACACGAGCATATATATTGCAGTTGATTGGGGGAATTTTGATGTCGGATAAATTCGATAGTTATGTTCACACTCAGTATCTTCTTTTTTTAAGAAATTTTGAGAATACTAGGCAATATAGCTGGGGATCAGCGATATTGGTGTTCTTGTATCGTGAGATGTGCAAGGCGTCATTAGTCGTGAATGATAATAATATAGCAGAAATCAGTGGATGTCTGTTGCTGCTACAATCATGGGCTTGGCATAGACTTCCGTTTTGGACACCGATTAGTCGAACTGCGGTTGACTTTCCACTTGAAGGAAAGTAATATGAATTCTCTATTTTTAATATAAAATATCAATTATAAAATATTTATTTTGATTAAAATTATTGAACAAAATGACCATATTTTTGTTTTGATTGATATACAGATAGAGGCATAAAATTGAAGGCACGGGGTTAGTGTACAACAACATTAAAGAGTTCAGGCTGAAGATCAACAATAAGGCCAAAAAGGAATTATGTATAATCTGTTATTATTAATTATTATTTAAATTAACTATATTATTTGATTTAAATCAATTTTATTGTTATTTTAATTTTACAGTTTAATTGGAGACCATACATGAATGAAGAAATTTTGGCGTTGGTGTCGCACGATGTTTTAGATGGGTTTCAATATTGGTGTGATGTTACACCATTGATCAATTTTGCTTTTGTTGAGATCTAATTTGGGGATAGAGTGCTGAGACAATTCCACTTCCACCAACCTATTCCGCGGAGTCCATGGGATCATGACCTCCTCCAAAACTTAGATGGTCGTCGTCATGTGAATTGGGTTGAGACGCATGACCACCTGCACAGATTTGATGGTCGTCGTAAAGAAAATGTTAATTGGGTTGAGAAGCATGCAACCTACATTAATGCTTGGAACAATAGGGCTTCATTCATGCCAACTCTTAACGACATTCAAGGCGACGACTTTAATTTTGAGACTTCGGCTTACCTTGCTTATTTTTGGAATAATAGAAAGCCATTCTTGACAACAATGGTAGAGAGGCGACAGCTTTTGAGGTTTAAGAAAAGATTTGGTAAAGCTGAATACTCTCTACCGAGTGGGAGTGGCAGTTCATCTCAACAACCTGAAGCAGAAATTACTGATGTGGATAATAGCACACCACAAACGTTCGGCGATGCGGGATCGTTGCATCACACATTTGATGATTTTACTGTCCCGGCATACATACCAGAGTTTTTGTAGCCTGAGGCACCCATCTACTCTCCCATGTTTGCGTCGACGTATAACTTTGAACACATGACATATATGATGTCAAATACCAGTATTTGTCAGTCAACGTTTGCAAGTGGGATGGAATCACAAACTGGTGGAATGGCAGTTCAAATGCCCCCAATGAATGAGGAGGATGGGTACCATACTCCTGAGCAACCGCAACGGCCACAACGCATCAGACGTCCGCCCCGACATTATCATTCAACAATACCCCGACATCGGCAACAATTGTAAACTTGTTTGTTATTTGTTACAAATTAAATATTGAAATTAGACAAGTTTTTTTAACCTTAACAAATTCGACATATTTATAATGATTATTAGTATCAAATCATTATTATAATTTCATTACTAGTAATCATTCGTATCAAATCATTACTATCATTATTATAATTTCATTACTAGTAAACATTAGTAAATCATTACTATCAAATATTAAAATCATTATTAAATATTATTGTCCAATATTATTAAATCATTATTATCAAATCACCACTAAATTATATAATTATTAAAAAATCCTATGTGTTTTGATTTAAATATGAACAGATTTATTATTTGCAAAAAATTAAATGGTTAACATTCGAATCTCTTTAAAAAAACTTGATTACTAAATCACTAGTATGAAATCATTAAATACTTAGAAATCATTAATAAATTCGACTATGTATAAATTTAAATTCGAGTAGTCCACACTTGTAAACTCATTTGTTATTTGTTACAAATTAAATCATTATTAATGATTAAATCATTATTACAATTTCATTATTACTAATCATTACTTAATCATTAATATCAAATCATTAAATATTAATAATGAATCACTATTAATAATAAT